TATTGACTTGCCTGCATATGCATATTGAGTACATTTCTAAATACAAATGAAATATATGTATTATTAAAGTGCCCTACAAAGCTAGTCATTGCTGTTTTCTAGTCCAAGTATTCTTAAGTAGAGATAATACTAGAAAGAATAAAAAAATGTTAAATTGCAAAGCAACATGCAGATTGGGAAATAAATAGTATTGTGCAAGAGGGACTTTTCAAATAAATTATTTATTTAAAACAAACACACCCCAAAGTTTTGAATATGACTTCTGGGATTTTTGGGTATCTAATGTGAAATGCAAGTTTCCCATAGCATGTGAAATGCAGAGTTTCCCAAATTCTAAAAGCATTCCTGAAACATCATAGTTCAGGTGTGAAGCCTCAAGTGCATTCAGCATTTTAATATTTCATCAGTTTATTTAAATTAAGTAGGAAGCATAAGATATTTTACTGGTTACATTGGGCTGGCAAGTCGAATAACTTTTAATGATGTAATGCAAACTTGTAAATCATTTTCAGTGAGGGCCTCATGGTTCAGCACAACTTTTCTGTAGTATACTAAATTGCTGGCATAACTTTAAAATTTGTAATGCTTGGAGATCATGAAAATAAGAACAGAAGCCATATGTATGTGGGAGAAGTAGCTGAAAATATGAATTCAGGCTTAAAAGTTTTTACAGATCTCTAGTTGTCTTTAAAGCAAAAATTGGGTCTGATAAGTGTTAAACCATGGCACATGTAAGTGCTATAGAGAGTGAAATGGAAGTACACCACAGAAATGCAATGTTAAAATTATGAGGTACACATTGTGGTAGTGCAATTTCTCAGAAAAAAAATTGGGTTTATGACAAAGTATTGTAAAGATACTGGTACACCATAGGTTTAGAATAATAAATGTGATCATTGTAAATTTTAACTAATCAGGGACTCAGTATTTTTGACTAGTCAGTGAACAATTATTCATTTTCTTTGCTAGGATTTTCAGTTAAGGCATTCAAGCATCTCTGAAATGATGCATAATCCCCAGACTTTATTACTGCTTATATCTGTGGGTTTATATTGCGGCACAGGTACCAAGAGAAAGGAATTATATTGCTTCAGAGGGAGTTAAACTGGCAAAAATTTGGGAAAAAAGAAAAGGCTGAAAATAAATATACATCTGTTGTGAATCTGGATTGACTCTAAGGTTAAATGATGCCTGCATTGACCAAATTGCCATGGAAAAATACGAACTGATCATAATTACAGTAGAATAAAACTTTGTCCTCTTGTTTGGTAGGCTCTTGGGTACAATAAAAACTTTGGCAAAAAGAAACTGAATTCATATTTGTAAGCCTTCCCTTTGACAGTAAGGAAAATATTCTTAAATGGTGTAAATTGCCATCCTTTTGCTGACTTCAGCAAAGTTATGACAATTTATATCACTCAAATGGTGGTCCCCAAGTATGACTTATCTATCTGATTTTACTGTAATACGCATATTGCAAATATGCAAACCACATACTAGAAAGAACTGACAATAATCCTACTTACATTCTGATAAATATTCAGGAAGGTGGTTCTTTCAGTCTCCAACGTAAAAAATCAGAAAGACTACAAAAGTCCTGAAGAGGAGGAATTGTACACTGGTTCGTCCAGGTCAATTTTCCCATAAATGGTAAGCTAAAAACCCAAAAAACGACCCACCAGCAAAACCAAGAAACACAAACTGAATGCAAATAGTAGCCCATACATGAAAATATAAAGGATGTTCCAAACTGTGTTGGCTCCAGATGTTTTTATGAGTTAAACAGTTTACTGTTTTCACATATTTAAAACATTCTATTTTTTTCACTTGATGTTTATAAGCTTTGGGCAAACTTGCTGGCATTGATTTAAGTTATGTTTTTGTACCACATGTAGGTTAAACACACATTCTGAAAAGGTACAATGCGAACAAGAATTCAATCATTAATATTGAGAGGCAGCAACTGCTTACAATTTTTTCCAGTAATTATTCTGCTATTACTGAGAAGCTTTGTGCTGAAGCTTTAACTAAAAAGTTAAAATTTTTTTACAAAGGATGCTATCGTATGGCCATAGGTATTTGGTAACTGCACAAAAACTTTCTGAACTATTTCAGAAAGTGTTTGAAGCTGTTTATTTGCCTTAACATTAGTTGCCTATATTTGCATTCTCTTTACATAGTTTAAAAGGAAAGCATCTGCAGTGAACGGCATTTCCAGTTCACGCGTGCTTAAAACTGATTTTTAAAGAAGTAATAAGAACACTTGGTGTAGGACTTGTGAACTTATTTGGGAACTCAGAAACCCAGGGAAGCACATTCCTGAATAGTCAGATTTGGGTATAAAACTATTGAAAACACAGAGCTGTGCCGTTATAGCTTTGCTATTGCATTCTTCTTCTTCTTCTTCTCTTTAGGAACCTCTCCTACCTCTCCCTAAAATGTCCTATTTGGCTTGTCTATTATTTCTCTTGGAAACCTTATCTTTCTCTCCTTTCTTTCTCTTCCTTGCACCCTCTCACTTTCTTCATTGCGCTTCACTTTTTTAACTTTTTTTTTTTCTTGTTATGTGCGAGAAATCCTGCATGGCCATCCCCTAGAATTAAGAAAAGGCATTTTTACACCGCCTTTGGCTTCGGGACTTCCCTGACCTCTTCCCAGCTGTGGCGGTGTGAGGGCTGCAGCCACGGCGGCCCTGGAAGGAGGGATGATGTTGGCATTGCTGCCCCTCCGGCCCCGGCCCCCCCGACGGCGGCTGGCCCCCGTGGCCGGGGCGGGCAGCAGCAGGTTGGAGAGCGGCGGAGGGCAGCGGAGCGGTGCGGTGCAGTGAGATGCGGTGCGGTGCAGTGAGATGCGGAGCGGTGCGGTGCGGTGCGGTGCAGTGAGATGCGGTGCGGAGAGGAGCGGAGCGCAGGGGCCGCTCCCCGCTCGCACCTGGGGCCGCCCGCGCCGCCCGCCCGCCCCCGCTGCCCTCGGGCCGCCGCCGCCGGGGCCGCTGCGGGCGCGACGCTCCGCGCCTGCCGCTGTCTCGCACTTATTGCTCCATGGCAGCGCCTGTCTGTGAGGGACAGCAGCACCCCTGCGCTGGCAGCCCGGCGTAAACAGCCCAAACTCAAGAGGGGTTCAGCCATCGAGATTTCTTTGTATCCCTCTCTTCTAATATTAGAACACATATTGAAACGATAAACACAATGAAAAGCACAAAATATTTCATCAGTGTTGTAACTGTATATTTCCTTTATTCTGAAGAAATATCAAGTTTTGAACGGTGCACAGAGGCAGCAACTTCTGCTTTGGACGCCGCTCTCTTTGTAAAGACCGCGTTGCTACAGTTAAATCTAAAGACAGTTGTTAAAAAGAGTTAGATGTCAGAAAAGGGGGGAAATCTTACCGTCGAAAGACTGCTGCAGGTTCCAGCTCAGTCTGAAACTGCAGTGAAAAGCGGAGCAGCTGCTGAACAAAAGTTTTAGATTTTTTTTAAAGAAAGTCTGCAAAACTAATTTCCCACAAAATAGGACTCAATTTCCGTTTAAGAAACTAGCTCTTGCAAAAGTCATACAATTGCTGATTTTTTCCACTAGCAATTGAAATTCATTTTATCTTTAGCACATGGACCCAAGAATTTAGACTTGAGAGAAATGGTTTTCCTTTTTTTTTTTTTTTTTTTTAGTTTTGTTTTGGGGGGGGAGGAGGAGCAAGGTACATCGAGTAGGAAGAGCTGAAGAATAAAACCTCTGCGCAGTGGGCACCTCTTTGGTCATTGATCACTAAATGCGTTATCCTGATTTAAACCAGTTAAGAGCCGCCTTGGTGGCTACTGTAATTCCACTACACGGATGTCAAAAATAATTTTTAAAAATAAAAACAACAGAAAAAAAAGACAGGCCCAGACTTTCCAGGTTGTCCCCCTGGAAAGACATTTGCAACTAAAGACATTTGCAACGAAGCAAATGAAGATAAAGCAAATAAACATTATGCGACTTCTTATTCTGAAGGGGCAGAGGGCAAGAGGGGAAACTTTCTCTCTGCAGCCAGCGTTGCTGGCACGGTGCGGGCCGCTGGCTTCATTGCAGAACCGGCCGCCGATGCTGGGGCACAGCGTGAGGGCAGCCGGGGCAGCGCCGCGGCCCATGGCGAGTGCCGGGGCGGTGGGCGCGGGCGGAGCGGGTGCATGACCCGCACCGGGAGCCTCGGAGCGGGGCAGCGCGGCCCCGGCCCCGGCCCCGGCCCGTGCGGCCCCGCACGCCGCCGCCCTCGCACCTGGGCTTGCAGGTGAGGCTCTGGCGAGAGTGCTTCGGCCCCCGGGGACGCGGGGCGGCGGTGCCCCCGCGCCCCCCGCCCCAGAGTCACCCCCTCACGTCGCCTCGCGTCTTTGCTGCGCTGCCCCGCCCGCCGCCCCGAGGGGCGGCAGAACCCCGGGCGGTCCCTCAGCCCCGACGGGGCGGTGATGGCCCTGCGGGGGCCGCCCGGGGCGGGGGGCTCGGGGCAGCCGCGGCGGGGGGCGCGGCCCCGAGCCCCGGGGGCCGGGACGAGCGGCTGCGCCCCCGCGGAGCCGCCCCCCCCCCCCCCCCCCCCCCCGCCTAGGGCCGCGGGCGCCCGGGGCGCGGGTGCGCAGCGCTGCCGCCCGCTGACGGAGCGGCTCGGCGCGGGGACGGCGCTGGCGTTTTGGAGGGAGTTTGCATGTGGTCAGTGCTGTGCTGCTGAGCCAGCCCCCAGCTCACATTACACACTACTGTATTTATAACCTCTCGAAGCTGTTTCCCCCTTCAAGCAGTTCTCTGGGACCACCTTCTATTGGCTTCAACCTCTCCCACTTCTTGACATCTGAGCAGCTCTGAGAACGGCTCATCTAGGTCCGAGTGTTTATGCAGCGGAGACTGGCCACTAGGGCTAAAGACCTGGATTATCTGAGCTCAGCTGCCTGCTGCAGAGTCTGTCGGTGCCGTTTTGGAAAAAAAAATCCCAGCCCCGATCTGTTTACAGTGAAAGTTGACAAAGGGTGGTGAAGTTGGATCTTTCCTAAACTCTCCTGCCTGGAACCTGAGACTTGCATGCCATGGATCACACACTCTTTGGCTGCCTGCGCAGCCCCCATGCCACTGCGCAGAGCTTGCACCCTTTCTCCCAGTCTTCTCTTGCCCTGCATGGAAGATCTGACCACATGTCCTACCCTGATCTGTCTTCTTCTTCTTCCTCTTGCATAATAGCGGGATACCCCAATGAGGAGGGCATGTTTGCCAGCCAACATCATAGGGGGCACCATCACCATCACCATCACCACCATCACCACCACCAGCAACAGCAGCACCAAGCTTTGCAGACGAACTGGCACATTCCTCAGATGTCGTCTCCTCCCGCCGCGGCCAGGCACAGCCTCTGCCTTCAGCCTGACTCAGGAGGACCCCCGGAGCTGGGCAGCAGCCCCCCTGTCCTGTGCTCGAACTCTTCCAGCCTGGGCACCAACACCCCCACGGGGGCAGCGTGCGCGCCAGGGGACTATGGCAGGCAGGCTCTGTCCCCGGTGGAAACAGAGAAGAGGTCCGGCAAAAGGAAAAGCGACAGCTCAGGTAAAGGCTCGCGCGTTCCCCAGCGGGGCGGGATCCCCGGGCGGCGGGGCTCGGGGAAGCGCCGGGGTCGGACCTGCCGCCGCTCGGCTGGGCTGGTTTAGCTCGGCTCGTTTGGCCCGGCTCGGCTCGGCTCGGCCCGGCTCGGCTCGGCTGGCACGGCCACGGCCGCAGCTGTGCTCTCGCCGCCGGCTGACACCGGGCTGCCGGGTTGTTCCTTCCCACCAACGCGCTCTCGGGATCTCCATCACTAACTCAAGCTTTATTAAGGCTACGGGGGGAGAAATAGAAAGAAAAAAATCAGCACGTGATAGAGTATGAAATCAAGGTGGCAGTGGGGGAGAGTTTCCTACAGCCAAGGAGAGAAACGTTTGTAGTTTTGGTGCGGTTTTCAGCATCTGGTCCCGCGGCCCCCTCCCCCCTGCCCGATACGACACCTCTGCTTCAAAATTCAGAATCCAGCGCGCTCCTTCCCCTCCGCCCCTTCGCCGTGGAGCTGACTGCGGCTCCGAGGCGATTGCACAACGCTTGGAAGCTCTGCCTTGGAAGCGGGGATTCGGGAGAGGAGCTGATGCCTTGCTACCCTGTAGGATCTGAGTGAGCCTGCATCAAATCCTCAGCGTGAAAGGGCAAAATTTGGACTCTGTGAAGCAAACGGGTGAATGAGAGTTTCAGAAAACTGCTTCACTTCAGTTTTCTGGTGGCGGGGAAAGAGGAAAGGAAGGGGCAGTCTGCCTTTTAAAATCACAGTAATTCTTACTTAAAGGCGAGCATAAAAACATGTAGACCCGCAGTCATTCCAGAGCAATGATTTGGCATCAATGAATGGGCAAAAAACCTTGACATTATCTCTGCTTTCTAAAATAGCAAAGCCTGTCAAAGTCCTGCTCTGACAAAAGCCACTCGGCGAAGGCAACACAACTGATGGGACTTCTGTTAGGGCACACATGAACCAGGGGGTCACCAAAAATATAGAGAGACAGGCAGGAGGCACTTGAAAGAGAGAGGGCTCAACAGATTAAAAACTCAAGAGCTGGTATAGCAAATTATTTGTTATCACAGAAGAGAAAGTGAAAGGCTTTTCCAGATACGTATGAAGTTCACAACTGAAACCATAACCTCTTTCACTCAAAATGCTGAAAGCTTGGTAGAGAGCAAGCAACACAAAGGATTTTAAAAAATAATCCTCAAGAATACCATCACTTCCTTCATTGTCCATTATATTAGCAAATATTTACAGTTACAGTAACTCAGAACGTATTTATCTGAATTGCGTCTTACATAGCTGATATAGTTGCTGAAAACTCTTCTTGCGTTTAAAGCTGTATTTAGTTCAAACACTGCTGGTAAAATCTTTTGTCTTGTCTTCTTTACTTTCAATGAGAAAAAGAATTATTTGATTTTTTGAGGTGTATGGACAGTCCCTGTTACAACTGAGAAAATAACTGGATGCCTGCTGGTGTAAGGATTTATTGTATTTGTCGGTCTCTTTAGAGCTAAAGAAAAAAAGGAAATTGGTCCCTTTCACTGTCAGGGAAGTATCTGAATCACTTTCTGTTTATTTCATTCTACAATGCAAACCAAAAAAAACACCAGTGAGGAATGTCCTAAACCTTACCCTGAAGTGACTGGAGTCTTCCACTGGATTAGTGGACAAGAGTTTGAGCCTTTAGCCACGGTTATGTTTATCTTGCAATGCACTTCGATCCTCACTTTCTAAGACGTTCTGAAGATCAAGGCAGGTAACTATTTCCTCCTCCCTTCCGCTAAGAAAAAAAATACGACCGTTCACACAATTGTGAATCTCTCAAACTGAAAATAGATGTCTTTTGACAACAACTGCATAGCTGCTGTATGTTTGGTTTTTCTTCAGGAAAAGCCTGAGTTTTGGACGGAATATTTAACCCCACCCCTTTATTAGTCCTGAACTCTGGTGCTAGATATTTAATGCTATTCTCCTATATGGCAGCAAGAATTATTTTAATTTGCTGTGTTTCTATATTTGTCAACCATAATTGCCCCTCATTTGATTAAACATCATCGCCTTTATTTCTCATTAATCTTTTTTTTTAAACAAATGACTGTGCTTGAAAGAATTTCTTCCATGCCTTCATCAGACTTGGAACTACTTCAATAGACATTTGTAAAAAATCCTAATAGTAAATAACTAAGAGGTGAAGAGAGAAAGAGACTGCTTTAAGTTTCAGTGCCAGCATTCTGAGACAACTATCAATGCTCTTGCTTATTTACACATATATTTCCTCTTCTTAAGCATATCACTTAAAACCACAGAATGCTCAGCGTTTTCTTGAGCACTGAATCTGTTCCACATTTCAGAGCTGAATTAACCTTAGGCTACCCCTTTCTTCCACTACTTAGCTTTTGTTTCTGTGTGTTTAAGATCACAAAGCTGAGTTTGTAGATAGTTTAAAGAATGTAAAACATGATCATTCCTTGTATCATTTACCTTTCAAACGAGTAACTGTTTCTTAGCTGTATAGCTACTCTGAAAATTTACTAGAAGGGACACCCCATTTTACTTATTTTTATGATGATGGGAGTGCAACGTTTTAAAATTATAAACAAAAATCCAGAGGGCAAACAGAATTTAGTATGATGGGCTGTGTGTTTTTTACCCAAAATTCACATATTGCAAGGGAATGGGAGGACATAGAAACATAGTTATATAAACGGACTTAGTTTATATAACTTTAGCCCTAACCCAGATTTTAAGCATTTTGGGAAGTTCCCTTTGAAGATATTGAAAAGACTGCTTCAGAACAGGGTGATATTTTCAGCTGTTCTCGTTGCAAAGGACTGGGAAATATTGCTTTTGTAGTCATCAACCCCTGCTTGCTGCAGCTGTCAGTGTCTCCAGGTTTTCTAGTTGCTCTCTCATAATCTGCAGAACATTCCTTTCAACCTGCCTAGGCCCAGGAGTGGGTCGGTAAAGCTGCCTGTGAGTTGAGGAGTGGTGCATACAAATCTTTATATGTTAACGTTTTGCAGTGAATAATGGCATCTGCATCCTCACCTTTGTAACTCAGCTCTTCGATGTCAAGGCCGTACGAGTAGAGAGACAATACTAAATCTGAGGGTTGGTTGCAAATGAAATAGCTTATTTTAAAGTGCCCTAATGGTCAGAATTATCTGTGTGCTAATGAGGTGCGGATGAAAACCATGCTGAGTGTATAGAAAACATATTCTTGGAGTGCTTTGTTGCTTTGTGGTATGAGTTGTTCTATATGGAATATTTTGGATTTTTCTAATGCCTTCCCTTCTCTTTACTTGCCTGTGAGTTTCAGGGCCATTTTATTTCTGTGTATTATAAAGTAGGTTTTGATTCTCAGATGATGCAGAACACATAAGATGCAAAGTTACTTCTGTGATTTCCTAAGTTACATTACTTAGGTCCAAGTTTTCTTAAGACTGCAGTCAAGAAAAAAGCATATTAATGCCTATATAGGAAGTGCTATCTAGATTTACTGAGAAATATGAAAAAAGAGTGGATCTGGTAGCCTTAAGGAAGTCTAAAATGCTATGGTGAAAAAAATATCTGTATTGCGCTGAAAAGACCAGGGGGAGGCTGAGTACAGTTGAAAGAGTTCTTCTAAGCAATACAGCTATTCAAACATTAAATTGCAAGAGATAAATATATAAGGAAATTGCATTCCTGTTAAAGTCTAATGTAATTAAACACTTGCCCTCAGGCATGAAAAGACTTAAAAAAAAAAAAAGGAAACCAAATTTCGCCATGGGAAAATGCTTTCTGTGTGGCACAGGTTTCCAAGAAAAGGCTAGCAGGTAATAAAAATTATTCATATTTTTGAATGCATTTACAATAGTAGCATTTAGAAAAGCATTTCAGGAATCCACTGTTTCAACAGTTTGGCCAAGTGTGCTCTGGTGGGTTTTGTTCATTGACAAATCACATGAATAAAAACAATACTTTTTTCCCCCTGAGTTTTAATATTTTATAACCTACCTATTCTCAAGATGCAAGCAGCAAAAAGTTGTATCTCCAGGAAATTTATTTTAAACACATCTAAATATCATAAATCATATGTACTTGTTTGAAATGGTCTCTAAAAAGCAGGTCATTTTGATAAATGATTATAAATACTGTGAAATCATGAGTTTTGAGGACTTTTGATTGGCTTCTGAAACATGTCAGTAAGAAAAATGAGCTGCACGCTTGTAGTCAAAAAGCACTGTGTAACTGATTCATCAATATGTCTCTGCTTTTCAGTGTGGTTTTAAAGGGAAACAAGAAAAAATACATGATAAAGCATAGTTTTTCTGGAAAGAGTTAATTTGTTTGGTATCTTGTATAAAAGCATCACTTACCCATAAGAAAACAACAACAACAAGAACCACAAAAACTCTGTAGATTTTATAAATGAAACAATTTCAAAATCCAACAAATAACACGCACACTTTTAGGAGAAAACCTTCAAGACTGATCACTTATCAAATGATGGGCTTACTAGTGAGCTATTCTCTGAATTGTTTTAATAGATGAAAACTTGCAAGAAATTCACTTTCATTCTCAGGAAATATAATCAGGAACTTTTGTAAGACTAAAATTTTGAAAGACTCTTTCGCTGATGCATTTTCAAAATTCTTTGCTCCTAGCCAAAGAAGAACTTTGTGTGGACAAAAAGAAAAAAAAAAGAACTATGTGTGGCTCCTAGTTATGCATTTCTATCTGTTTGTATAAATGATTCAGGAGGATTTACACTTCTCCTTCTCCCCCTCCTCATCAACCCAGCCTTTTAGAAACACTGGAAGGCTGATCCAGACCTTCACGGGATGATAAATGTTTTTGTGAGAAGGTCCATTGACTCCAGTGAAACCACTGAAGTGGTCAAGGTTTTTTAAGCAATCAGAGCTTAATTCTTTTACATGGGCATTAAAGAAAAATGTTTTGTAATTCTTGTAGATATTTATTGATAAAATGTTATGATCGCCTGATTGTTTGAAAATTGCCAATCGAGCATTTT